CAGTGTCAATGATCCATTTTCCCTTCAATCCATCATTAACTGTTGACAAGGCATAATGAATATCATCCTTGGTTTCCTTACCTGCATAGTTGACAAACTGTGCATAGTCCATGTTGCCCTCAATATTTTCCTTTCCTTTGATATATTGTGTAAGCTCATTCAACTGCTGGATTATTGAACTGAGGTCTGGAGCTTCTGTTCCTTTGGCATTCAAAGCTTTCCTTTGATCTGGCACTTCAATGCTTGCTTCAACATTGTGAGCATAGGCTCTTCCCTGCTGTTGCTTAAGATCCTTATACCATTCTGGTATTCCATGAACCTTGAAACAGGTGGATATGCTATGACCATGCATTCCACATTTCTCACAGACAAGCTTTGCTTTCTCTTCCTTTGAGAGCCTAGGTGCTCCCCTTCCTCTCCCATTGCCCCATTGACCTCCACCTCTTCCTGCCATAAAATTCCCTTTCCCATATCCATCTGATCTTGCTACCAGAACTGCATTATCTAGCCTCTCACTGTATAAACTTTGAACAGACCTTTGCCTTTCTGCTGTGAGTGCCATAGAGTAAGCCCTATTTACAGTAGGTAGTGGATCCAGCAGCAGAATTTGATTTTTCAGATTATCAAAGCTATCATTGAGCCCCATAAGAAACTGTATCAACTTAGTTTCAGAATCATGCAAAGCATTCTGCTTCCCTTTCTCACAACTACACACTCTAATTGGTGCAACACAAGCATATTCATCCCACAACCTTTTTAGTTTGTTGAAATAATCCACAACAACATCATTTCCTTGGTTCAGGCTGGTGATCTCTCTCTGCAACTTATATTTCAGAGGACCATTGCTCTCTCCATACCTCTGACATATATCATCCCATAACTCCTTTGAAGATTCAACATACATAAAAGACTCAGCTATGTTTTTAGACAAGGAATTCAGAATCCATGAGAGTACAGTCCAATCCACCTTCTTCCACAGAATATACATATCATCATCCTCATTAGGTTTCTCAACTTCTCCATTAATGAAGCCGATTTTTGTCTTAGCACTAAGAGCAATAATCATCGATCTCTTCCATGGCAGAAAGTTGCTACCGGTTAAAGGATTGGTGACTAAGATCATACCAGGATTATCGGAGGCATGGAGAAATAAAGGATCTTGTTCCTGAAGCTTAGATCCGGAAGCAACATTGGTGTTTAGAAGTGGCTAGGCCTCATTCCTTCGATGCGCCATTGTTGAGCTAGCTCGAAGCTCGAAAACTCAGAATCGGGAAGACGATGAATCTCACGGTGATTATAGCGTGAATCGCCAAATCGTAGCTCAAAACGACAAATACTAGCTCTCAGATCCCAAAATCGATCGCTCTAGATACCATGTTGAACTCGAATTTACAGACCAAAAATATCTGGAAAAATCTCATTTATTTCTCAATAATCGTTCAAGCAGAAAATGAACAGTGAAGTGACCTAATAAAGGACGTACGGACCACATCTTCATGCAACCGTAACGACATCGTTTTGACAAAGCATAAAACGCAGAAAACTAATAAAGTCGCTATACGACTTTAACTATTACAATAAAAGGAAAATAACCAACAGGAAAAAAACAAAATAAGGCCTGCATATAAACACGAAAATGTAGAGCCTCATGCACACACACCATTCCAACATCCTGAACTACTATTATTGTGGGCAATTTAGTTAAATCATGGACTCACATTCATGATCGATAACTATACATAATGCCTTATGGACTCAAAATAATTATGTGAGGATGAATACATAAGCTGGAATTATTAAAATATGAAGCAATGATGAATATGTATGCTACAAGTTGGATGTAATGAAATATGTCGATAAACTAATGAATGTACATGAAAAAGTGATCGAATATGATATCACTCCCTATATCCCTACCTATATATTAATTCAGAATGTGTTGAGTTTAGGTAACAGATTCTCACACTTCGGATGCTAATATGACGAAAATCTATGCTTCGTGATGTTGTTTTTTATATTATTTTGCTCTGGAGTTTGGTTTGCTATTAAACATAAATAACTTTACACATATATTCATTAACTCAACACTCATGTTGTACATGAGTATTAATACTAATTTAGTTTAGAAAAATGCTACGTTAAGGAACTATTCTGTCGTGATTTGCAACTGTTAGATCAACATGTAACCCCGACAGAATTATTTTGTAACGGGACCGTAGCATCTCCCTTTAGTTTAAATGACAAGTATAACATGGCAAGAGTATTTTTGCTTAAAAAAAAAAAAAAAAATCAATACATTTATACGGTCAAAATATAAAACTCTACCGACAACTCATGGCATAAACTCATTTACATCGAGTAAATCACTCCGCATCATCTTTGGCTTGCCCATCATCGGCCTGAATTTGTATAATATAGTTGACTAATTACTCTGTCTAGGCTGCAAATGAGTCGAGCAGCTCGCGAGTGTTCGAGTTAAAGCTCGGCTCGAACTCGAGTTTGACCGAATTCGAGTCGAGCTCGAGCCCATATTTTACATTGTCGAGCGGCTCGCGAGCAGTTCGAGATATATGAAATTACTAAAATATCCTTGTATATATATGTATTTAATAGTTATTTTACAAAAAATGTTTGAAAAAATTCGAACTGAACTCGAGTCGAGCTCGAGCATTTTGAATTCGAGTCGAGCTCGAGCTCTTGTATTTTTTTATCGAGTCGAGCTCGAGCAGGCAAAAAAAAAATAATTCTGCTTGATAAGGCTAATGCTCGACTCGACTCGGCTCGGCTCGTTTGCAACCCTCAATATGTCTTTTATCAACAACAAATGACTATCATGAAAGACAGTTCATACATTTTATTATAATTTATATATGGAAACTCTTTAATTTTGACTCTACACAAATCAGATCTTTGATGCGGGAGAATATAATCTGTGTGCTGCTAATTAATTTAAATTATGTTCTCAGATTCTATTCTAATTTTTCAATGCCTCTTGCATATTTTTCTTCTGAATTTGAAAATCAAGTAGCCTGTTTTTTGTGGTTCTCACCAAAAGTTACAAGAATTTAAAAGGGAAAAGAATGTAGAACAGAGAGGATCCATTAATCCAAATCTTGATCATTAAACACTGGATTACCACAGGATTAGTGGTC